GCTGCCCTAGAATGTACGTGATCTTCCATGGATGATTCGGGGTTGCTCCGACGCCTTTTTGGTAAAAAGATGATTTATTTCTTGTTGGGCTCGGCATGACGATCAATTTGATACTAACTTCTAGCCATGGATCGTGTTTTTAAGCGACGATCATACGACTCAAATTTTGTATGAATCTTAAAAACTTATGATCGATAGTGCACTCATTTGTTGATGTATTTCATTGGTTTCTTTACTGAATTGCACTGAGTATGCCATCACGATCGTGTTGCATCAAACGCAGCTCGATTTCCTGTCCGAACAAAGATTTTACCATATTGGGTTTTTGGTCGAAATTTGGATTCCGACGGCCGAAATTCTGCAGTAACTTTATCGTCTTCATACGCTAAATCTAACTGTTCATCATGCGTGGGGTTTGCACTAGACATAGCCCTGGACCTTATGCACGCAATGCAACTGGTTTTGAGTCAATCGGTTACGCGAGATTCGTGATATGGCCACTCAAGTGGGTTGTTCTACAGCTGATTTTCCTACAACCTTTGTCGTGAATTGCCAACTTTGCTCTAGCTTTTCTCATTGCTCGAACATTGTCAAGGGACGTACCACATATCAAATTGCTCATCTGGACAAGACAAACACGCTAAGAAAATTTGAGCGTGATCCGACTTAGAACGAGGGAGATATGGCTCCCAAAAGTCATTGCCCAAAACTGTGAAAAACAGTCTCCTTTAATGGAGACTGGTGCAGGGAGGACGTACGGGAATAGCGTGCGGCCTACCCGTTTTCAGTCTTTTACTCATAACTTTGTTCTAGAGTGTCTATTTAAGCCGAAACTTGACCTCCAAGGGTTTTCGACCATGCTGGATCCAATGGCAATGGTCTCACAGCAATTTGATGCTCTGTGAATAGCTTTTCAGTTATAGGATACGTTTCAGGGTGCAAGAGGTCGATTTTTTCGAAACTGCTTCTTTGTCTGCATGGCCTTAGACATGTTGGATTACGACAAAACTTGGCAGGTGTCCTTTTGAAGTCCTTAGGAACATTTTCATCCATTATGGGACAATTCTGAGACTATCGAGAATTCCACTGTAAGTCAGCTTTATTGACCGGCTTCTCCTTTATTCTGCATCAGGGACCCAAGGTGCTGAAAAATGTCTTCAAACAGCTTGCCCCGCCGATTGTTATGCTTTGAGAGAAGCGAGAAGGATAACATTCAAAAAATTTCCTTCGGCTTTATTACTTTTTTCTTCCTAACTAGGAGACCACGTGAACGCCGAGGAATGACCCACACAATGTTGTAACTAAGATGCTCAGATGTTTGGATGCATTATTCGCAGGTCCATCCGTGGAAACTTTAGGGGAGAAAAGACTTTTGAGGGATCCTATCAAAGTCCTCACCCTCGCGTGGACTATTTTGGCGGCATTTTTTGCAACCACGCCAAGTTTATTTTGCCCTGGTATGATAGTTTCTTGCTTGTGAGGGATGATTTTAAAGTCTCCTGCTTGTGAGGGATGATTTTAAAGTTTACACCCTGTTGGATGGTACTTGTGATGACCTTGTGATTTTGGGGGAGTCCTCAACCCCGCGTGAACTGTTTTGGTGCCGTTGTTGGCAGCCACACCAGGTTTATTTTGCCCTGGTATGACAGTTTCTTGCCTGTGAGGGATGATTTTAAAGTCTACACCCTGTTGGACGGTACCTGTGACATCCTTGTGATTTTAAGGGATCCTATCGAAATCCTCACCCCCGCGTAGACTGTTTATGATTCTGACAGCTGAGGGTTTTGTACAGACCTCGTTGTTCAGAATTAAGACTGTCTATCCATCATCTTGAGCCGAACATACAAGCAAAGAAGTAGATCACCATCTATAGATGTTGCGTCGTGTACTAGATTCTACAAATTATCGGCATTTTTTCAACAGCAGAGATGCAAAGCATCTTGTTTCATACTTCTATTTAGATGTTTGAATTTGGTTCTAACATAATCTTACTGAAGATGGTAGGAGAGATCTTCCCCTATAAGTCAAGTTTGTTGATCATGAAAGACAAAACCAAGAGACGCCATGGAACCCTTTAATTTGTAATGTGTTGATAGTACATCGTAAAAGGAATTTGACTTTGTGCTAAAAGATTAGTGTGAAAATTTTGTGTGAGCGGGGTTTTTTTGCGTATGTCAATGGGGGAAAAGGCCCCCTACCCAATTTTTCATTAGTTAAAATAAAAAAGAATTAGAATTCGTCATACAACCCTAAAATTGGGCAGTTAAGCAAAATCATGGAATAGTAAATGACTGATAAAGTCTAGTGGACGGTGGCACTATAGACTAGCACCAGAGCCAACAGCTGCTCTCTTGGCTAGAGCATCAACAACCATATTTGCCTCACGATAAACATGCGCAATGGACCATTCAAGGGTCGAAAGTTTGGTGCAGCAACTTGTGTGAATAGGTTTGACATGTGTTGGGTACAATCTTAAAAAAACCTGAACAAAGATCTCCAACTCAAACAAAGATCTCCAACTCAAACTACATTCCTCTAGATTTATATATTTCTTGTTTTTTGACCCACTGACCAAGATGCTAAAAAATCTAGACAAGTGGCTCTCAAATCAGCATGCATCTAACAAGTGGCACTCACATCTAACAGCTGGTGCTGGTCTCTCTACTCAGCCAGCGTTGGGCTCTCTACGCAGTCGGCGTTGGGCTCTCTACTTAGCCGGCGCTGGGCTCTCTACACAGCCGGTGCTGGGCTCTCTACTCAGCCAGCGCTGGGCTCTCTACACAGCCGGTGCTGGGCTCTCTACTCAGCCGGCGCAGGGCTCTCTGCACAGCCGGTGCTGGGCTCTCTACTCAGCCGGCGCTGGGCTCTCTACACAGCCAGTGCTGGGCTCTCTGCTCAGCTGGCACTGGGCTCTCTGCACAGCCGGCCCTGGGCTCCCTACTCAGTTGGCGTTGGGCTCTCTACTCAGCCGGCGCTGGGCTCTCTTATCCCACCATGCACTTTAATCGGTCGGGAAAGGTTTGGGTCGTTACATCAACCCCCCTTAAAAAAGGATTTTGTCCTCAAAATCGTTAATCGAATAAATGGGGGTACAAGGCCCGGATTTCATTTTCTCACTCCCCTGTTGATTCTTCCCTTGAATGATATTGCCATAAGTCCCAGACTAGAGGAATCTCTTTATTGCATAGTCATTAAATTCTTTTGCCCAATACCTTAATTGGTTGTTCAACGTACGTCAAATCTTCCCTAATCAGTATCGACTCATACTTCATGACGTGGGACGGATCGGGCTGATACTTCCTTAACAATGACACATAAAACACATTATGGACATTAGCCAATTCGGGTGATAGGGCCAAATGATATGCCATGACTCTAGTCCTTTCTAAAATCTCAAAGGGTCCAATAAACCGTGGACTCAGTTTCCCCTTTTTGTCAAATCTCATTACGCCCTTAGTTGGTGCTATCTTCAGAAAAACCCGATCACCCGCTACAAATTCAAGGTCCATTCCCCGATTGTTAGTATAACTCTTCTGCTGACTCTGGGTTGTCTTTAGCTGCTCTTGAATTAAGGCAATCTTTTCTGAAGTTTCTTGAACAATCTCTGGTCCTAACAGTCTTCTCTCACCGAGTTCATCCCAACATATGGGTGACTTGCAGTTCCTCCCATACAATGCCTCAAAAGGTGCCATTTGGATGCTAACCTAGAAACTATTGTTGTAAGAATTTTCTATCAGAGGTAGATGCTCATCCCAATTTCCCTTGAAATATGTAATGCAGGCCCTTGACATATCTTCCAAGATCTGAATAGTCCTTTTCTATTATCCATCGGTCTGAGGGTGGAAAGAAGTACTAAAAGTGAGTCTGGTCCCCATAGTCAACTGCAGGTTGTTCCAAAACCTCGAAGTAAATCCGGAATCTCTGTCGGACATAATACTAACAAGCAACCCATGCAGTCTTACTATCTTCCTCAATGTATAATTGGGCCAACTTATCCATGGTATAAGTAGTATGGACCGACAAGAAATGAGTAGCTTTAGTGAGTCGGTCTATAATAACTCAAATACTATCATGTCCCAAACTTGATCTCGACAAGTCAAACACGAAATCAATTGTTAGGTGCTCTCACTTTCATTCTAGCACAGGTAAGTGTTGTAACTGTCCAGCTGGTTTTTGATGTTTAGCCTTCACTTTCTGACAAATCAAGCACTTAGAAACAAATTGTGCTACTTCTCTCTTCATGTTATTCCACCAAAAGACTCTTTTTAGATCCTGATACATTTTTATGCTCCCTGGATGCACTGTATAACGGGTGTGATGTGCCTCCTCTAAAATAACCCTTTTTATTTTTCCATCATCAGGGACACAAACTCAACCTTTAAACCTTAAACTATCATCACTACCCAGCGTAAAATCCTCCTTACCTTCTGATCTTATTTCCTCAAAAATTTTCCTGAATCGAGGATCCTCCTTTTGCGCTACTCAGATTTGCAGAACGAGATGGGGTTCTATTCTTATAAATGAAATTATTCTTTTCCCATCATCAAGGGGTAGAGTTGGGTGTCATTCTACTACATCTTCTAGTAACTTCATCTCTCGGACCATCATATAAGCCATTGACACCACATCCTTCCTACTTAAAGCATCTGCCACAACATTGGTCTTACCCGAATGGTAATTGATGGTACAATCATAATCATTGAGCAAGTCCATCCATCTTCTTTATCTCATAATCAATTCTTTCTGAAAAAACAAGTACTTGAGGCTCTTATGGTAGGTGAACACCTTAAATTGAGTTCCATACAAATAATATCTCCAAATTTTTGGGGCAAAAACCACAGCCTCCAACTCCAAATTGTGAGTGGGATAGTTCTATTCATATGGCTTTAATTGCCTGGAGGTATAGGCTATAACCTTTTCCCTTTCCATCAATACACATCCAAGCCCTTTGTGTGAGGCATCGGTAAAAACCATAAAGTCTTCATTTCCCTCAGGCAAAGTCAGTACAAGGCCGTTGTTAATATCTTTTTGAGCTCCTGAAAACTTCTCTCACAATTATTAGACCACACAAACTTCACTTCCTTTTGGGTTAGGCGAGTTAAGGGAAGTGTTATCTTCGAGAATCCCTCTACAAAACCCCTGAAGTACCCCGCCAGTCCTAGGAAACTGCGAACTTCAGATACATTCATTGGTCTTTCCCATTTAAGAATGGCCTCAATCTTACAAGGATTAACTGGCACCGCGTCTTTGGAAACAATGTGCCCTAGGAAAGCTACACTTGGAAGCCAAAACTCACTCTTACTCAGCTTGGCATACAACTTCTCAGTTCTTAGGGTCTGGAGGACCATTCTTAAATGTCGTTCATGTTCTTTTTGATATCTATAATACACCAAGATATCATCTATAAAGACCACCACAAAGTCGTCCAGATAGGGTCTAAAACCTCTGTTCATCAGATCCATAAAGACGGCCGGGGTGTTTGTTCACCCAAAAGGCAGGACTAAGAACTCCTAATGGCCATAACGGGTCCTAAACGCAGTCTTGGAGATATCATCTTCCTTAACACACAATTGACGGTATCCAGACCGAAGGTCAATTTTAGAAAATACTTGGGCCCCCTGTAGTTGATCAAACAAATCATCAATTCTGGGTAGTGGGTATTTATTCTTTATTGTAACATGATTCAACTGTCTATAATCAATACATAGCCTCAAAGACCCATCTTTATTTTTCACAAATAAAACCGGTGCGTCCCATGATGACACACTAGGTCAGATGATCCCCTTATCCAATAATTCCTGTAATTGCTCCTCCAACTCTTTCAGCTCAGCTGGGGCCATCCTATATGGGGCTTTAGAAATAGGAGCAGTACCAAGGGCCACCTCTATATCAAATTCAATCTCTCTAACTGGGGGTAGAGAAGTCAACTCTTCAGGGAAGACCTCTAGAAATTCTCTCACCATCGGTATCTCTTCTAATTTAGACTGAACACCCATGTTTTCTACTACGTAAGCCAAGTATCCAACACATCTAAAGGGGAAACATCCTTAATGCCCTTAAAATATAGTTTAAGTTGACCAGGGCATTTAAAAGTTACAATCTTATCAAAACAGTTCATTGTAGCATGGTGGGTAAACAACCAATCCATACCCAAAATAAAGTCAAAGTCTTGAATATCTAAAAGCATCAATTCTATAGGAAACAAATGCCCTTCAATCACAATCACACACTGTTTATATATTATATCAGTTTCTATTGATCCTCCCATATGCATACATACTACTAGAGTCCAACCAAGTTGTACAGGTTTAACATTCAACTGACATGCAAAGTGTGGTGCAACAAATGAATGGGATGATCCAGGATCAATTAAAACTTTTGCCTCGATTCCACATACAGAAAGCATACCTCGAATCACAGAGGTTGATGCCTTAGCCTCTTGATCGATCAGGGCACCTGCCCTTGAGCCCTCGATCGGTCCTTTGATCCCCTGATGGGACAATCTTTCATCAGATGGGCCAATTTGCCGCACCGAAAGCAGGTCTTGGTCTTTCTGAAGCATTCATCTGCCGTATGATTTCCCAATCCACAGTGAGAGCAGACTGGGAGTCGATTGCCCCTCACATCACTTGGATCAAACCCCGGGATTCTGACACTACCTTGATTGTTTCTCCCCTTCAACTCTCTCCTTGGAGGGGGTCATGCCTTCATCTTAAAACTCTCAGGCTGGGCGACACCCAACCTTCCATCTATTCTTGTCTGAAAGTCGTCATCATCTCTCTCCATCTTTAGGCCTAAGTCCACCACCGAGGAGAAGGTCTTCAGGTTTGTTATAATAATCATTCTTCTGATATCGGGCCGAAGGCCTCTCTCAAATTTACTGGCCTTTTGAGCCTCAGAACTAATAATCTACGGCGCATATTTGGAGAGTTCAACAAACTTTGCTGCATATTGCTCAACTGACATATTCCCCTATTGCAGCTCTATGAATTCAACCTCTTTCCTTTTCCTCACAGAGTCGGGAAAGTATTTCTCATAAAAGACTTCTAGAAAATTATCCCAAGTAGTCACGACTCCTGACCCTTCCCATGACAGTTCTACTGAGCTCCACCAGTGCTCAACTTCTCCTTCGAGCATGAAAGTACCCAACCTAACTTTCTGCTCATCTGTGCAATTCAGAACCTCAAAGATCTTTTCTATATTCCTTCTCCATCTCTCAGCGTTCTCTACTCCCCCATGCCCTACAAAGTTTGGAGGTGCCAGCCTCCTGAACCTTTCTATCAGATTACTATCATTCATATCAAAGACGGGGTTAGACGGGGCCAATACAGCTTCTCTCATCACTTGTGTCATGGCCTCCAAAGTTCTGATGAGTTTATCGAAGGCCTCCATATTCCCATTACTTGAACTCGCGTTATTGGTACGAGTCCTCGGCATCTGCAACCTAAAACATAAACACCCAGCCTATCAAAAAACTATCCTACAGACACTCCTAAGACTCCCTAGGCCAGGAATCCTAACTTGGCTGCTTTGATACCATAACTGTTATGACCCTGCTCCCCAACCCCTGCCGGAAGGTGACAAAGTGCGGGATCGCGACCTGAGGTCGCAAACATCACTCAGGTAGGAGTAGCTCAACCCATAAAACAAGGAATCAAGAGCAAACCATGAAAGAAAACTATAATAAACCCAAACACATACAAAGATCAATCCAAAAGAATAGTTATCTCATTCATTCAATATCAAAAAGTCTTTACAATTCCTTCAAGGCACTACTAGCTCAAAAATACACAAAATAAAGTATACATCATGTTATTGAAATCACCAAAACATATTGTGAAAGTCTTCGAAAGACGGCTTTTCAAACTTCTTAATTTTGGGTTTCAACCCTCCAAAACTGCCACCCACCTTAGCACAGATGCCACCACCCTTCACTCTATAGTTATGAAATTAAGATGGAATGAGCTAAAAGCCCAGTAGGCAAATCCACTCGTTGCATTTCTATTAGTATAATAGTGACAGTAATATGCAATGTACCTGTATTCACAAGGCATCAAGTGAAGTCTCTTAACATGCTTTTCAACACTCTAACAGTAACATAATAAAAGAAGTTCAATAAACAATACATAAGCTATAATCACCTCACTTAAAGCAGAACCGTAAGGATAGTAGATCATAACTACAAAACTAGTAAGGCCTTACTCCCAAAGTAGAAATCCCACCACACAGGTTGAGCCAATCTTGTTGCTTGAAACCTCTACTATCGTTCAGGAGAGAGGACAACGACAAGTGGATGTCCCACTTCGTAATGCCCTCACACACACACACACACACATCCCCAGTGCACTTTGAGGTTTTCGATAGGCAGTGGGGTTGCAAGACACGACCCTCTCCTTATGCCCTTCTGGTGAGAGGGTGTTACACCACCAATGGGTGACCCAATGCGTAGTGCCCATATAAATCTGGGGGGCGACCCACCTAGTTACTCATATCCTAACTCTCATCCTATCATGGAGAGTCAAGGGAAGATCGCAGCTGCCGGCACCATCATTCACATAGTATGTGCCCTTCCCATCTGGCAGTTGTTAGTACCATCATTCACACAGTAGGTGCTCATTCACATATCACATAGATAGTATGATATCATCATTCACAGAGTAAGTATCCGTTCACATATCAAATAAATAGTGGCATATCATATTTAAGAGTATCACAATGACAGTATCAAAGAACAAATACATTATTCCTATCAAGCCTTACCACTTAATTTCTTGCCATCAAGGGCGATGACGTGCGCTTACCATTAAGGTCGTAACCTTTGGACCATTTAGAGTTTGAAAATAGTTCTAACATAACCTTTGTACTAAACACACCTATCCTTCAAATGGGATTGGTTTGAATACAATTGGACCCTGTTTGTCCTCATAAAGATTCAACGAGGTGAGGTTAACTAGCTGCACCCAGCTGTGTACAGTGGACAACGATGTACCTTGCTTGATATCACTATAACTTTCAAACCGCGAGGCAACTTGTGATAGTTTCAAAATAAAACTTTGAGCCAAGACATGTATCTTTGTAAAAACATAAATTTGAACGCATTTGGATTCCATTTGGTAGTTCAAAGATTCATGCCAAACAAGGTGATAATTCTGAATTTTGTCAACACTACCCATAGTGATATACCTTTCATAAAATGAAGTATAACTTTCAATCTAAAAAGAATTTCAAGATAGTTTCTACATGCAATTTTGTTTTCATTCAAATATCTTTCAAATGGCGGTAGTTTGGCCGAAAATAAACTTTGTTTGGTTAGTTAAAATCAGTGACTATAGTGGTATTAATGAAAAATCCTGGAAAATTGTCAATAATGATATACCTTCTTATTTTAAAATATAACTTCATTTTTGTAAGGAATTTAAACAGTTCGCAACAAAAAACATTTTACTAGTCTTGTATATCTTTCCAATGGTAGTACTTTGAGGTCAATCGGATCCTATTTGATAGTTCAAAAGCCTCTTTCAACAACACACATATTTCTAGAATTTCATAGTGGTATATAACATGTCTCAAGAACAAATTGCTGGGATATGAGTGCCATCAATGGCTCCAACACAATCCTATTATTTAGAAGCAATTAAAATATTTCTGAATGCCATATTAATCAAGTAAAAAACAATAAGCATGACTAATATGCATTACCTAACGCCCCCTTCTTACAAGCGATTTCTGGTGGTATCTTCAACTCAGTTGGTTTGAAGAATTTTTTGTGATGTCCTATGACTACATTCAACACTCGGTTAAAGTGTCGACTGATAGTTTCTCCTGAGTGACCAAACCCATGACCAATCTTTCGGTTCTTCAGGTTATGGCTTAGAATGTGGCTTTCATCAAATGAAACCCCCATTATATCAGCGATATTTCCTCTCTAAAAGAATACTCCTCAAGATAAAGTAAGTTCTTTTACTCATTCTAATTTGGTTTCGACAGTCCACCTCAGTGGAGTTTATTATCGTTTTATGGTACTTTATACCAATTTGAATTACACTTTAGTGCAGATGATTTATGCACATAGGTCACTAGAATAGTACCAAATATAGCTAGAGTACTACTAGGTGTAACAAGTGATCCAACTATTTTTATCTTTACTTCATGCTTGAGGTTTTGATTGTTACTCACCATGGGAAAAGATTGATCACTCTACAAGACCTAAAGAAAATCCCAATAGCAATTACAGAAGATATATATATATACAAACCAGAAAAAAAAAGATAACATTTTGAATTAGGGATAAAAAAGGACTTGTGGATCTGCAAACCAAAGATGTATTAGAAAGTAAGTATCTACAGAG